AAAATAATTTTGACTCATTGCAAAAATCAAGGTTGCATTTAGGTGTGTAAAGTGGAAGTGAATGTCAATTTTTGGACAATTTAAAAGCAGGAATATGAAACTAATAATTATAGAAACGTTTTTTTAATTAATTTTATATTAAAATATGTTTATTATTTGAGCTGTAAACCTATTTAAAATATTTTTACAAGTGTCTTAACTTTACCCAAAAGGTTAGTAAGCCATTTCTGTCGTTTGGCTGTACTATTGAAAAAAGTTATTATTTTGATGCCTTCAAATTCACAAATTCCTGTCATTCTGCAGAACCGAAAGGAAGATGTTTAAAGAATATTTCAGCTGTTTTTGTCCAAAAATGTCAATGTGGTCCATCGTTTTCAAGCTCCAAAAAAGATCTCAAACCAACATTAAAGGGATAGTTCACCCACAAATGAAAATTCTGTCATCATTTACTTACCCTCGCATTGCTCCAAACATGCATGAGTTTCTTTCTTAGGTTGAACATAAAAGAACACATTTTGAAGAATGTGGGAAACCAAATAGCTGCTGGTCCCCATTGACTTCCGTAGTAGGGAACAATACTAAACCATTGGGGACCAAAAACTGTTTGGTGACCCACATTTTTAAAAACATCTTCATTTGTGTTCAGCAAATCTTCATTTGTGGGTGAACTATCCCTTTAACATCAAACCACAGTGGACCTTGTACATGATCAAATGTCATGAGATTTAAGATGTGTCACCATGTTTGATGTAGGTTTTGTATGTTTTCATTAATCAGAGTTTTGATTTGATTAATAAAGGCTTACATCTTGTTCCCTACTATGGAAGTCAATGGGGACCAGCAGCTATTTGGTTTCCCACATTAATCAAATGATTATGTCGCTTTAGAAGGCCACCAAGGCCATATGGATTAATTTCACACTACCATTATATCCTTTTTGGATCTTCAAAATGTTGGTACCCATTGACGTACATAATATGGACAAAACACTGAAAGGTTATTCAGAATATAATTTGTGTTCTGCAGAGAAAAGAAAGCCATATAAATTGTATGTGACATGAGGAGGAGTAAATTACGGAACTATTCTTTTTAAAATTCTTGAATTATATTCCATTTAGTTTTCTCTGTCTGGCTAGAAATCTGACTCTGACTTGCTGAATGGGGCTGAATTTTGCTGCAGGTCTTTGAGAGGATTAGATGGGCTGATCTGAGGTCTGATATGGAACCCTCCTGTCTGTCATTTGCATCCTTTGTAGAAGAACATCCACTGCTCTGTGTGTATATGTGTTGTTGGGGGTGGGGGGGCTGCATGTTAAATGACCAACACACATACTAACAAATGTAAGTACAAACTCTAAAGGCCACACAGCACACTGGCAGATTTTGTATGTTGGGGTGGAGTAATTTCCTTAACAGACGTTTAACTCATTTTTGCCCCACATTTGGTTTAGCAGGTATGAGTCTCCTCCTATCTTTCCAGACAAGTGCTAGGCTTATTGATCATGAACCACTCCTATGTGAGTGAAATTGAAAGGGCGACTCCCTTATAAATGGCAGCAGTTTGCAACTTTGTGACTGGAAACACAACTTGCACAATGAACTTGGGTCGTACATTCATATATTTTTTATTGAACCCAAAGCAACAAAAACCACAAGCATAACATAATGTGCTTAATGAAATGCATGGTGTATTACAGTGATAACTGGCAAATTCCCAAAATACAATGGAGCTACTTTGGAATTAAATCTGCATTTGGCTCTAATTGATTGATAAGATTCAGCCGATTCATTATATGTTCATTCTGTCTCAGGCTAATAAAAAGGGATTACAAAGCAATATACAATGATCTGACTTGAACCTTTGTCACTCATGAGTGTAATTACATTATCATTGTATTACCATAAGCTGCAGTTCAGTGTTGTGACTGAGGAAGGACCAAGTCATCCATTGTCCTCACCAGCTGGAGGCTAAGAAAATCTTGATTGATAAAAATATAACTATAATATAGCAAACGCACTCAGGTTTCTGCTCTCAGCGTGTCCCAGAGGTCCGACAGACTTCAGTGAACAGATGTTTGTCTGCCGTCCAGGTTTGCTTGAGCTTGTTGTTCACCTCTGAAAGTTTACTGCTAGTTTTATTTGACTCCTCAGAAGCAGTCTTTGTCTACTTGCCTTTTGTCGTTTCAACCAAAGTTAGGCCACATTGTTGAAGACGAGGGTCTTGGGGTAAAAGATTTGTGGTTGTGGCAGGGGTGTGGTGGTGGTATATGCCCGTCTCTGTATGAGTTATGTCTGTGTACATCAAACGTGTGTCTGGGTGTGTATGTGACTGCATGTGTGAGAAGATTGGGTTGAAAAGGCTTGGGTATTTATGCGACATTGGATCAGCTTTTTCTTTTTACTCTGATAGCGTGTGACTGAGTGTACCAAGCAAAACCGCAGCTTCCTGATTTTTCTGACACCTATTTGTGTCTATCTCAGTTCTACACCTTGAGTTTATAAATTATATCAGATGTTATGTAACAAGTCTTAAAGGGGTCATATGATGCGATTTAAATTTTTCCTTTCTCTTTGGAGTGTTACAAACTCTTGGTGCATAAAGAAGATCTGTAAAGTTGCAAAGACTAAAGTCTCAAATCCAGAGAGATATTCTTTATAAAAGTTAAGAGTCAGCCACGCCTACCTAAAACGGCTCGCTCTAACGAAAGCAACTACTTTGTTTGGTCTTCCAAAAGAGGATGATATCCGCTTCGTCATGCCTGGAGCTGATCCGTGCTGGTCGCTGAGGAAATACATCAACTTCGCGCTGTGGATCGCCAGATCGGCTTTCACCGTGGACGAAGCAGAGTCCAGCCCGGGATCGTCACATGGTTGCCGCAAGCCTGCCAGCACCCGTGTGTGACGCTGTGTGTTTCGTTGTGAAAGCAAAACTACTTTGTTTGGCCTTCCAAAAAAGGACACGACTAGAAATCAGTGGTTAAGTTGTATTTACAACACTGTTCCAGAACACTTCAACCCAAATATTCAGATGTGTGCAGCACATTTTATGGAGGACTGTTTCCTGATCCTGTGAGAGTAGACTACAATGCCGGCTGTTCTGACTCACAGATTGTAAGTACGTTTTCATATTTAGAGGATTTGCCACTGATGATTCAAACGCGAGTTTTGAGCAGTGTAGAGTAGCACTGGCTGTTTGTCATTTTTCCAATCACAAATGCAGACGTGGTTTTATGTTTATGCGGCGCGATGCAACGCATAAAAAGACAGTATAAATCATTATAATCTGTAATTATGTCCCCACTGGATGCAACAAATGCCTCCTTTGTAATGGGTTTTATTGGTTTTGTCTCATCTATTGATGTCCGGATCGCGAACGAATCGTTCTATTTAACCCGATTTTCTTAGTGAACCAGTCGAGCCAGTTCACCAAATCGAACTGAATCGTTTGAAAC